GACGAGACATTCCAGGAGGCTCTCCTCCTTCCCTGGCGCCATCAACGCACGCGGAAAGCCAAAGTTGACAACAAAATCTACAGGGCGGTTCTTCATGCCGCCATCGTCACTGGCAACGCACAACATCCAGTCGTACGTCACTAGCACGTCAGCTTCGCCCCGTTGGAAATCCGCTATCTGGCATGTGCAGTGGACACGTGCGTCACTTTCCCGCAGTCCGGTCAGTAGCTGCGGAAACACCGACTCCTGTTCCTTTCGCGACGAGACCACAACGACCATGCGACCCACCGAAGATGTGAGGGGCGTCGCGGAATTACTCGCTGCGGAGCCATCCGTATGATGATGGGAGCCCGCCACCTCCGAGTGCCCCCCGCTGTTGACATGGGACGAGCAAAAGTGCTGCTTGACAATGCGAAGAAGCCGACGCACTTTTGCCGCCTCAACGCGCTCAAACATTTGTTGGGCGCCATATTCCTCGGCCTCATCCACAAGCACCTCCTCAATTATGTGCTGCACCCCATCCCACACCGTGTCGTCACGTTGCCGGTAGCGATTCACCACGTCAGGGGTCTCTTGGAGCAATGTTTCCTGTAGCCATCCATCGACCTCATCGTACATCCGAGAGGCGGATACAATGTACTGGCACTCCACATCGACAGCATTCGAGAGGGAAATCCACCATGACGTGGGAACAGCCATCTGTGAATTGGGCTGCGCCATGCGGTCTGCGTCACTGATGCACACAATTCGAACGCATTCCAATGGAAGTATTTCCGCTTGTCCCCGTACCATCTGCAGTGCCTCAACAAGAGACTGGTGAGTCCCTATGAGAATCGGTACATGCTGCTGCAAGAATTGTGGAATTTCCTCACAGGGTCCTGTCGCCATCGATGTGTCGTGCGCTGCCGCAGGAGGAGGTGCCGCTGTCACAGCTGCGCACTCCAAAGAAACGCAATCCCCTTTTTCGACGGAGGATTTTCGATCCGATAATTTTTGCATCCAATCCTCACCATGGCGGTCGTCGTGGCGATGATGATGACGGGACCGACTGCTTTCGCGTCTAATCCTCTTCTTGTCGTGTCTGCTGCTTCTACTGCTGCTAACGTCGCCGCTGCGATGCCGGTGCTGACGCCTACTGCCCCGCCTCTTCTTATCTCGGCGATGGTCGTGACTACGGCCTCGACGGTGCCTTCGTTCTCGAGAGTAATGGCGTGAGGAGCTGCGATGTCGTCGATGACGGCTCCATGCCCTCTCCTTGGCAGCTGGCGAATGACTGTGTCGATGGTGGTGATGCCGACCGCGCGAGTGTTCACGCCCCCGTTTGTGCAATGAACGCTCCTCCTGGCGCTCCTCATGTGAAAAATGCTGACGATGATGGGACTCTTCGCTAGGCGGCAGAGACAGTAATGCTACTGGTGGTGGTATTGGTGGATGTAGCGGTGACGGCGGAGGTCGTGCCTCTGTTTCCGGCGGCAATTTGCCTCCCCAGTCGCACGAACTCTCGTACAAAACTGGCAACGGCGTGAGTTCAGCCGTTCCACGACGAAACGTCATTGGCATAAACGCACCTGCCGTGAAGACGTCTTGCAGCCACCGATTGCACCACTGAACTTCATGGAAGCTACTGACCAAAATCATCGCTCGTGGCGCAGCCGGATGAAAATTGTACGCATCTGAGGGCTCGTGCTTCATCTCCACCTTCGCCTCATCGCCAGCTCCACCATCATTACTAGGGTCATTCTTCTTCTCACCACCAATCGCCTTCTCCTCCTGTCTCTGAATTCCCCGCGCAAGCGTCAGCGCCCCTGTGGCCAACAGACCAGCCGTCTTTTTTCCCGTACCTCTTGGGCCGACGCTGAGGGTGTGATGGCCCAGCAGCATGGACGTCACTGCAAATTGCTGAAGAGCCGACATCGTCTCCAACACCTCTCGCGGGTCATCCTCATCCCCGTCAGCATCCTGACGGCCATCTTTTTCCTCTTCTTCCCTGCCTCCCCCATCTGTACCAGCGCGTGACGATGGCACGGCTTCAGTGCCAAAGACAATTTCCTGCAGCTCACGCAGTTTTGGTCGCAAAGTATCCTGAGGGGCATCCAAATTCAACGGTTTCCTGCCATGTAGAAAAAACAACTGTCGTCGGAGACGTGATAGCACAAGCGGCGGGAGCTGCAGGTCCTGCAGCCGCAAGCAAGGAGGCGGAGGAAGCCGTGCAGAGCACTCAACACCATGCATCATTGCAAACTGCGACACAAACCCAGAGGACATGAGATGTTGAATCATGTACGGTGCAGGAGTCCATGAGGTCCGCGAGGTCAATCCAACAGCGGCATGATTCGTGCTGGCATTCAAGCCCGTAACGCCCGCTGCGGCTGTATCACCGTCCATTCCGCTCATCCCGTGGTGTGCATCCATCCCACTGCCATAGTCCCCTGCACAGTTGGTCGCCGCACGTCGTGGCACATCACGCTCTGGAATGATGTCATTGGGCCCGGACTCCATCACCAACTGCCACAGTGACTTTTGAGGTGGGGCCGGCGGAGCAATGTCGTTGGAGGCACGTACGAACTCCGGGAAGACAAAGTCCATGCTCCCTTCCCCTTCCGCCACCACAAATACACGCACTCAATTGCCCTTCTGTCTATTTCAACTTCTCGGGTCTCTCCCACAGACACCCTCCTCTATACCTGCGGTGTTTAGGGACTAAAGAGGGCGATGGTCAAAAAGGGGGGCAAAAATAAAATAAAATAATGAAATCACCCCATGTTGTTTGTGATCCCTCGCGTTCTGAGATGTTGCACAACGTCCCATTTCTACCAACACCGCCAGCAATGAAATGCCCAGTTCGAATGGGACAACAGTATAAAAA